AAACTTGAAGGATTAATCGTGCACAGCTCATACAGTTGAAGGATAAATCATGAATTTTAGCCTAATTTTAAATTTAATCATATTCTTATCCCGTTAATTATTTCAATCAACATTAAAATAGAACAATCTCTCTTATTGAATGTTTGTCGAGCTATAAATTTTGTAATTAAATAGCATTGACTTATTTCTTGCTCTCTTTTAAACAAGATTACGAATTATGGAGTACTATTTACAAGTCAAACCAACTTTATTTTTTTAATATATTTTTATTGATCATTTATAAAATCTTTATCTTTATATATAAAATTTGAGAGTTGAACTTCTGGAATCGCGACACATGGCAGGTGTACTTGGCAATTGTTTTTACAAATCACCTGCCACCTTTGATGAATTTAATAACACGGCAATTGTGACATGTTGCACGCTTACTAGGAAATTTTGTGACATGCCAGCACGTCATGTCATTAAGTGATGTTTAAAGAATTAGTTAACAAAGAAATATATTCTTTGCAAATTAAGTTTTTTATTGGTTACACACAAATTTCTCAATATAATTGCGTTTAAAAATTTTTATATCTTAATTCATTGTTGGAAAATATTTAAGTTAAATAATATATTTTGAAATTGAAAAAAAAGAAGTCATATTAAAAATCAATAATCAAAACAAATAAATTTATTCTAAGAACGGATAGATTGGTAGCACTAAAAGAAATTACATGTGAATATTTGTTATCACTTTAATTAATACTAATTGGAGAGATTTTTCCATTTTCGAAAAAAAGAGAAATAAATATATAAAAGGAAAGAGATTTTTATTGGCATGTTTATTTAATAGAGCATTAATTTTATTATTTATATATTAAAAGAATTCTAAGTCAAATAACAAGTATGTTCTATTTTAAAATTCAGATTTTCCATTTTTAAATTATTATTTTCTATTACTAACTTTGTAAAAATTTATAAATTCATGTCACAAAATTACTATTTTCCATTAATAAATTTGTAAAATGATGAAGTCTTGGTACAAGGGTATTTATGTGTAAGAAATTAATTATTAATTGGTGTTTCTAACCGAAATATTTATGTTATAATATTACTTATTATAAGTTTAATTACTATTAAATAAAATTCTTGAAAATAGAAAATATGATTATTTGGACATCTATGTCAAAACAATATAAATAAGTAGTATTCTTGCTTATTTATTCATCCGACCATCGACCACAAGGTGACAAATATTACTGGATAATAGAAATTTTTCATGTTTAAAGTTTTTAGATAAAAATAATTAGAGTACTTATTTTATCATGGTTATTACAGATACAGAAAGAGAGGGATCGTCATCGGCTAGCTATAGCCTCGCATGATCGAACATGTTCGAGAAAGGATGTACTCTGTGATGTGACACATGGTATTTTTATTATTTTGAATTAAATATATAATTTTCTTAGTAAGTTTTCCCCAAAAAATTATCAATACAGTGCTTCAATCAAGAAATATTTATATACACTTCATCGTGCTTTCAAGTGCATAAGAGACATAAGAGACGAATTATGAAAGAAAAGTACATTTAGTTCTCATATAAAATTAATATAATTGAATTAAAAAATTACATACAATTTGGTGAAACACATGTTGAAATTGAATGCAATTACATAAAATTTTAAAGAAATTAAATATAATTCAAATTATATCTTTGGCCAACCACACAATATTACATGAGAGGGGGGGTGAAAAAAATATTTTTAACCATTCTCTAATTTGTATATATTTTAATTAATATTTTTATGTAAGTTGTATTGTTCATTTTTATAACAATTTATAAATAAATTAAATTTAAAACATATGAAATTTTACATTTTGTTTAGATATGGTATTTCATTTTAGGATATAGGGATAAAGTAATATAAGAATTTTGTATATAATTAGTTCAACTGGTAAAATAAAAGCAAAAAATGAAATCACATAAATGCAATTGTTCACTATTTTACATTAGTATTATATGTTCATTGTCACGTAGAATCAATTTCAGATATAGCCGGTTTCGGATCTTATCAGTTCCATATTTTATTAGTTTCAGATCTTATCAATCTCGAGTCTTATCAGTTTCGGAATTAAATTGGGGTTATAGATACATTTAGTTTGATTTCAATTCGGATCATTTCAGTTATTCAATTATAAATCTAATATTCACTTTTTGGATCATTTCAGTTTCAATTTTGGGTAACCGGTTCTGTTTCTGTTTTGCAAGGACTACATGTGTTTAGCAATAAAATACTCATGGAACACTGTAGAAATTGAAATTGTTTTATTTGTTTCATAAAGTATGAAGAATAACTTTTTAGCTACTGATAGAAGTTTAGTCGAGAATTTCAAAAATATGATAGATGAGTGTAATGTTTTAACATAGATATTTAGAAGAACTAGAGACTTCAGGGATAATGAGCCTACTTCTAACGTATCATTGAGGTTGTTGAAAAGTAGAACTAGATACTCAAGAAAAGAAATCTCCCTAAATAGGAGTAAAAAAGTATGAAAATACCAAAATAAGTCCTTAGAATTTTAAGAGCAATATAGGAGTGTAATGACAATGTGGTGCTAGAGTACGTGTTGGCAGTATGATGGAAAAGTAATGACAGTGTAATATATTAGTATGATCACTCTACCGTCTGCAATTTGTGGCGACACTCTAGTGGCCGGCAGTGAGTCTCCTATCTAGGGAGTTCTCCCACTCAAGAAATTATAATATCTCCACAATACACGAAATTGTTGTGTTAATAGTTAGAGAGATATCTTGATTCATCTAATGAAGAAAGGGACATCATCATTCCAAAAAGAGATGGAATCTTACAAAAAGTCTATGAGACACACACTTCTTTCATACCTCTGCAATACTCTTTGTTGTTTCCTTTTGGAAAGGATGAATATCAAGAAAATACACCTTTAAGGGAATTATTTTTCGTGCGAAAAATGTAAAGCGCCAGCGAGTATCGGTGAGATAATCTGTTGGATTTCAAATAGGTGGTATTGTGTTGCTTGCACAAAGATTGTATTTACAGTTTTTTTGTTGATGCATACATGATGGTTTAAGCACAAAGAATCTAGTGCATGAGGTTAACCCAAGATCAAGTTAGGGAGAAATTATGAGTGACTTACATGAAGCTGTGATCAGAGATGATACTGAATCAGCAGCCATTGGCGAACGAATTATCCTATCATCCATATTCATCGGGGGAATGAGATATATGTTTAACAACTAACAAGATGTAATGACCATTTGTTGAAGATTTAGTTATCCAGATTTATTCATTATAATAACATGTAATCCTCAATGGCCAAAGATTGAAAGATATATAACAATAAGGAAATGTAAAGATGAAGACATACATGATATTCAATCTGAAAACTTTAAAATGAAATTGAATCATTTGGAGAAGGACGTAAAATAGGACTTACATTTGGTGAAGTAATTTGAGGTATTTTTAGAAATTGCTATATTAGTTAAATTTAAATAATAAAGTTGTTGTAGTTGAGACATTCAATTTATAATATCGTCATTTGAATGTAATAATTTTGTGCATATTTTTACACTGTTGACTTTCAAAAGAGAAGTTTTCCTTATGCACATATCTTAGTATGGTTACACCAGAGGAATAAACTTCAACCGCTCAAGTCAATTGATCGTGTGATATCTACATATATAGGTTTTTAATAAAGACAAATATCCTAGATTCTGTGAGTCTGTAACATTATTGATGTTGCATGGTTCATGTGGCATAGATGATCCTAGATCTCTATATATGGACAATGGTAAACGTATAAAATATTTTACCAAAAAAATTGTTGATAAGACATCGTTTGATGAGAACGGCTACCCGATATACATAAGAAGAAACATGACGGTCACCACAATGAGAAAGAATATCGAGTTGGATAATTGATTTGTTGTTCCATACAACCCACAACTCTTGATGAGGTATTAAGACCAATCAACATTGAATATTACAATAAATCTAATTCAATCAAATATCTCTTTTATATGTAAATAAAGGTCAAGATAAAGTAACTATTGCAATTGCCCAATCTAACTTTGATATTATTGATAATACGGTGTATGATGAAACAGAGAAGTACTATGATTCTCATTATGTATCTCCATGTGAACCCTCTTGGAAAATCCTCTCTTTTGATAAACACCATAGGTGGCCATCAGTATTGAGGTTGAATTTCCATCCCCTAGGACTAAAATTTGTAACCTTTAGAGACCAATAAAAACTAAAAGATGTTGTCGGATAAAATATTGATAAAGCTTAAATATTTGAAGCTAGGATGATTTCCAACACAAAGTAAAATGGGGGACAAAATTTAACTTATGCAAAGAGTTTCTAGAATATTTTGTGTACAACCACAAAGTGAGGAAAGGGTTCCGAGGCAACAAAGACAATCAATAGGCAAGCTACAATATGTTCCTACAAAAACGAGAGAGTTATTGATACGGTCCTCAATCCCGTCGTATCACCCAAAGATGAAGACCACAACCCGTCCGTCTCAGCTGCACCGGGTCGTCCAAAGAGGGTTGTTCGCCCGCCAAGAAAGTATCAAGATTATGTTTAATTATTTTCCGTCATCATCTTCTTTTAATTCTTGCATTTAGATTTTTCCTAGGTGAGCGTAATTATAAGCTCCTTCGAGGGTTTCTTTTCGGTTCTTTACCTCGTCGCTTTTTCTTGAACCGACAGGATAGATAACGTAGACTTACTAGGATTGGGAAACTCTTTTCTATATAAGACGTATTTACACCTCATGCATAATCATCAATAAAGAAGTTCCCTACTTGGTATCAACTGGTGCTCTCATTGCCGTCCTCATTGACGCCACATCCTCATGTCGTCCGATAGGCCGACGCCCGAAACTTCCAACCCCCCGTTGCAGTTGGAAGACCTCATGCATGCAATCATGGATATTCGCCAGGATTTGCACGCCACAAAGCTTCGCGTCGCCGAACTCGCCGTTCCCCACCATGATGTTCGTCCTCCACCACGCCCTCCACACCCGGGCTGGCGGCCGCCACCTTCACGTACATCGGAATCCACGTCCGAACCAGCCCCTCGCATGCGGGTGGATGCTCCCCGTTCTCGGGCGACGATCCTACGGGGTGGATTTTTCGGATTCAGAAGTACTTTGATTATTTCCTTACCCTGGAACCCGAACGACTCCAAGTCGTTGCTATGCTCATTGATCATCCGGCGTCCGAATGGTTCCACTATTATATGGCCAATAACTTTGGGGTATCATGGGATGCGTTTTTGCTCGCGGTCCAACAATGGTTTGATCCCCACTACTATGAGAACTATATTGGCCTTCTCTCAAAGCTGACTCAAACCACGTCGGTATTGGAATATCAGACAGCTTTTGAGTCCCTACTCAATAAAGTCTCGGGAGTTCCGGAACCCACATTAGTCTCCATGTTCGTCGCAGGGCTCCGCCAACCTATTCAACGTGAGGTAAATCTCCGGAATCCAACGTCACTGCCAGCCGCCTTTGCCTTGGCTCGGGAATTATCGGCATGCCACGCCGAAGCAGCAGCCACCTATACCCAGGCTCCTCACCGCCAGTGGCCTCCCCGGCCGCCGCCACCGTCCCCCACTTCAGCCGGCCTCTTGCCCACACCTGGGTCGGGTAGCGCCAGTACTGCCCCTCCTCCTCGACCACCGGATAAGTCCCCACTTTCCCGGTTGCCCGTGGTTCGTGTGACCAACGCCGAGAAGATCGAACGTTCAAAGAAAGGGCTCTGTTGGTACTGTGATGAAAAATGGGATGCAAGCCATAATTGTCGCCGTCGATTTCTCGTTCTCATGGGCCCCGAGGATGACGACGATGCCAGTGCCATAACCAGTCCGCCCCCAGACGAGGACGATACCCCTCTGCTCTCCGGGGATATCTCTAGCATCCTCTCCCTTGCCGGAAGCCCGAGCCCCCGGTCAATAAAAGTGGCCGGATCAGTCCACAATAACGTCGTACAGGTACTCTTGGATAGTGGGAGCACGCATAACTTCATCCATCCTAGCGTGGCGGAACGTTTGGCATTGGTTCTTCATCCGGTCACCCCGTTCCGTGTATACGTGGGCAACGGTGACTCCCTCCGCTGCTCGTATTCCTGTCCGCAGACGCCTCTCCTCCTCCAGGGCAACCTCTTCCGTATTGATCTCTACCTCCTGGAGATCCACGGCTCGGACATCGTCTTTGGCGTCCAGTGGCTTCAAATGCTTGGAAAAGTAACTCATGATTACGCTAAAATGACCATGGAGTTTACTTGACAGGGGTCGACTATCGCGCTGCGCAGCGATGTTCCAGGACCACGACCGATCTCCTATAGCCAATTTTGCTCCCTTGTCGGTGCCCACACTATGGTGGATTTGTACGAACTGGTGACCACCACCCCTTCGCCGACAGTGGATGCTCCTACAAATCTACCCACAGACATCCCCACTCCGATCAGCCACTTACTTCGGGACCGCCTGGCGATTTTTAGCCAACCCACGGGGCTGCCCCCATTGCGGGATTGGGACCATCAGATCCACCTAGCCGCCAACTCCAAGCCAATCAATATGCGGCCTTACCGGTACCCGTACTTCCAAAAATCAGAGATCGAGCGCCAAATTCGAGACATGCTCTAGCAGGGTATCATTCAACCAAGCCACAGCCCGTTCTCGTCTCCTGTCCTGTTAGTCCGCAAGAAAGACGGCACCTTCCGTTTTTGCGTCGACTATCGCGCCTTGAACGCCGCCACGGTCCCGGACAACTTTCCAATCCCCACCACCGACGAGCTCTTTGATGAATTGGGGACTGCCCGGGTATTCACCAAGCTGGACCTCCGCTCCGGTTACCACCAAATCAGGATGCACACGTCAGATACCTACAAAACGGCCTTCCGCACGCATGACGGTCATTGGGAGTTTCTAGTGATGCCCTTTGGGTTGTGCAACGCGCCGTCTACATTTCAAGCGGCTATGAACAACATCTTCCGGGCCTTTCTTCGACGGTTTGTCATCGTGTTTTTTGACGATATATTGGTTTATAGCCCAACCATGGACGAGCACACCGCCCATCTAGCCACGATTTTGGACACTTTGGCCGCGCATACTTTCTTCCTCAAGCTCAGTAAGTGCTCTTTTTGCCAATCTACCGTCACTTATTTGGGGCATGTTATCACGGCCGGGGAACTACATCCAGACACGGAGAAGATCAAGGCCATGCTTGACTGGCCGAAACCCACTGCCATCAAACACCTTCGAGGATTTCTCGGTCTCACGGGGTACTATCACCGATTTATCGCCGGATATGCCATGCTAGCCGCACCCTTAACTGACCTTTTGAAAAAGGACAATTTCATCTGGTCGCCGGCAGCCCAAGAGAGCTTCGAGCCCCTCAAAACAGCTATGACTACGGCACCAGTGCTACGTCTCCCGGATTTTTCCCAAACTTTTTATCTGGAGACCGATGAATCTGACACAGGTGTGGGCGCCGTCCTCCTCCAGCAAGGCCATTCCCTCGCGTTCTTCAGTAAGAAACTTGGACCGCGGCGACGGATGGCTTCCACATACCACAAGGAATTGTACGTCATTGTGGAGGCGGTCCAAAAGTGGCGCCAATACCTCTTGGGCCGGGAGTTTGTCATCCGCAGCGATCAACGTAGTCTCAAGGAGTTGCTCTCCCAAGTCATCCAAACACCGGATCAACAATTTTATGTGCGTAAGCTAATGGGCTACAAGTTCCGTATCGAATATAAGACGGGCGCGTCAAACCGGGCCGCCGATGCTCTCTCTCGCCGAGAGGAGGATCCCTAGGTCGCTGCCCTCTTCTCCACCTATGCTCGGCCGTTCCCTTCTCTACTCCAGGATATTCAGCATGAAAACACTACAACGAACGACCTACTGGAATTGCATGCCGCAATTACTGTCGGGACAGGCCCTCCCCACTTCTCAGTACACCACGGCCTGCTCTACTTCAAACGCCGGCTAGTTCTTAGTGCGGCCTCCCCCATTCGGCAGCAGCTCCTACACGAGTATCACGCCACTCCGTTGGCCGGGCATCAAGGCGTAGAACGCACATTCAGACGACTAGCCGACGGGTTTTATTGGCCAAACATGCGGGGTGATGTCTGCCGTTTTGTGGCTTCGTGTGAGGTCTGTCAGACGACAAAATACTCCACTCGCAAGCCTGCGGGGTTGCTTCAACCCCTGCCCATCCTAGATCAGGTGTGGGAGTCTGCCTCCATGGACTTTATCACCGGCTTGCTGTTGTCGCGTGGGTTTTTAGTTATTATGGTGGTAGTGGATCGCCTCACCAAGTACGCACATTTCGGGACTCTGGCCACCGGTTTCGATGCCCCAAAGGTCGCTCAACTATTCCTTGACGTTGTGGTAAAGCACCACGGGTTTCCCAGCTCCATTGTTTCGGATCGCGACCCAATTTTTATGAGTACCTTCTGGCGCGAATTGATGCGTTTAAGCGGGTCCTCACTGAAATTCAGTACGGCCTACCATCCCCAAACAGACGGTCAGACCGAGGTCCTCAATCGCAGCCTTGAACAGTACCTACGCGCCTTTGCCCATGAACGCCCCACCCGCGGGTCATCCTTCCTTGTCTGGGCCGAATTGGCATTAAACTGCAGCATCAATGAAGGGCCGGGCACCTCACCCTTCCAAGCTCTCTACGGTCGGCCGCCCCCGTCCTTGTTTCCCACCATGGCCGTCCGCTCCCGGGTGCCCGCTGTCGAGGAAATATTGCAGGAACGCGCCGAGTTGCTCACAGATCTTAAAACCCACCTCTCCCACATGCAGTAGCGCATGCGGGTACAGGCCAACCGACACCGCCGCGACCTATCCTTCAACGTTGGCGACATGGTCCTTCTCCGTCTGCACCCGTATCGGCAGCATTCTTTGGCTCGTCCAGTCTCCGTCAAGCTTGCCCGAAGATACTATGGCCCGTTCGAGATTTTGGAACGCATTGGGGAAGTTGCTTACCGACTTCGTTTGCCGGAAGGGTGCCACATCCACGATGTGTTTCACGTGTCACTACTCAAGCTTTTTGTGCCACGTGACTCCTTGCCACCACCGACCCCTATTCCGGCTGCCTTCTACAAAGGCCGGCCGCTCTCCGTCCCCGTGGCCGCGGTGGACAGTCGCACTGTTCTGGTTGATGGACTCGCCCAGGAGCAGTGGTTAGTCCGTTGGTCGGATGGTTCCGATGCAGATGCCACATGGGAACCGTTGGAGGATCTTTTGCGCCATTTCCCCGATCTTCGCCTTGAGGACAAGGCGATTCCTAACCCCGGGGGAGTTGATACGGTCCTCAATCCCGTCGTATCACCTGAAGATGAAGACCACAACCCGTTCGTCTCAGCTGCACCGGGTCGTCCAAAGAGGGTTGTTCGCCCGCCAAGAAAGTATCAAGATTATGTTTAATTATTTTCCGTCATCATCTTCTTTTAATTCTTGTATTTAGATTTTTCTTAGGTGAGCGTAATTATAAGCTCCTTCGAGGGTTTCTTTTCGGTTCTTTACCTCGTCGCTTTTTCTTGAACCGACAGGATAGATAACGTAGACTTACTAGGATTGGGAAACTCTTTTCTATATAAGAGGTATTTACACCTCATGCATAATCATCAATAAAGAAGTTCCCTACTCCCTAAACTCCTTCTCTCTCTAAACTCTCCCTCTCTACATGAAACCCTAAGGGTTTCGACCTTCTTCTTCACCTAAGCTTTGCCGCCGGTGCTCCTCTCCTCAAGCCACGCCGGTTCCTGCCGGCCTATCGATACCAACTTGGTATCAGTTATACTACTTGAGAATACTATTAACTTTCCAGCAAGGATGTAGCTAGAGGTTATAAGAGCTTGAAGACAATTAACAATGTTTTACATTACGCATTCGAGGAAGCATGTAAAGTATTGAAGTTATTAACTGATGATAAAGAATTTATTGAAGGTATAAAAGAGGTTTCTAAGTTAGAATTTGGGAATCGGCTAAGAAAATTGTTTGTCACATTATTAGTGACAAGTACAATGAGTCACCCACAAGTTGTTTTGAAAAAATATAGGAACTCTTAGTGGATGTAATTTTATTTGATTGAAAAAGAATATTGCGTAATCAAGATATTTCAATATAAAGATAGTTTTTTAACATATTAATCCATATGAAATGCATTATATCAAAACAAAACTCTCTAATTGAGCAGTGCATAAAAACATATTTTTCTAATTATTTTTTTTGTAGAACTTATAATCTCACTAGAAGACCTAAAGAATTTATGTCTAATTGAGATTGAAAATTGCTTAATTGAAATGGATGGTTTTTAAAGGGATTCAGTGGCATGTCATTTCGAGATGACAATCCACTTAATAAATATCAAAATAACTTTTTGGTAGAGTAGGTAAACTATGACAAAGAAAAATTGTTATTTGATTTTAGAAGATATTTATCTAAGATGAATGACGAGAAATGGAATATAGCCAATAAAATCATGGAAGTCGTGACAGCTGAAAGAGGAAGTTTTATTTTTGTGTAAAGTTACGGTAGAACTAGAAAAATATTTATCAGGAAATCATTGTCGATCTGCTCTTCTGAGTTCGAATGGTAAGATTGTCTTGAATGTCGCATCCAACTACATTGTATCATTACTTTTGCCTAGGGAAGGACAGCACACTCAAGATTTTTAATCCCTTTAGTGCTAACCGTGTGCTCATCGTGTGCCATCAAACAAGGGAGCGCAAAAGCAGAACTAATCCAACAAGTAAGCACAATCATGGGATTGTGTTCAAATTTTTTCATAGAAATGAACCATTCGGAGGGAAAACATCTTACTCGAAGGTGATTTTGTTCAAATTGTTTCAGTTTTACTCAAAGCTTTGAGAGAAGAAATTGTAGATGCTACCACCAATCTTCACAAATGTGGTTGTATTGTAAAGTTTATACGTTGACCAAGAATATGACATTGCATTTATCTACACCATCTTGCACAGACCGGGACACAAACTTTTTCTGATTGGATAGTCAAAGTAGAAGATGGAAAACTTGTACAAGTGATCGATGGATATGTTGACGTTGAAATCCCGTCCGATTTCTTGATTCTTGACACAAGTTATCCCCTCAAGAGTATAGTGAAATTCATTTATCCGAACCTATTAGATAACATGAAAATTATTCTTTTTTTGAGGATAGTGCACTATTAGCACCCACGCTCAAGGTTGTTGAATAGAAAATGAACTTGTCCTATCTCTTATTCTAGGAGGTGAAAAGAAGTACTTAAGTTCTAATTCTTCATGACTAGCATATTCAGATGTAGTTGTTGAAGATGATTAGATAACAGTTGAGTTTTTTTAATGAAATCAAATGTTCGGGGATCTCAAGCCACAAAGCAGGTTTTAAAAAGGGGATACCGATTATGTTATTGAAAAACATTGATTAAATATTTAGATTGTATAATGGTATAAGATTAATCGTTGAATAGTTGTAAAAGAAAATTAAGAGTGCAATTGAGGTATTGGGAAATCGAGCCGGGAAAAAGGTTTACATACCCAAAGTGAATTTGGTACCATTTGATTCAAGACTACCCCTAAAATTTAAGAGAAGACAATTCTCAATAGTCTTATGTTTTGCTATGACTATTAACAAAAGTTAAGGTCAAACATATATTGTCTTTTGTTGTATTATTTTTAACCAATTTGATATTTACTCATGGTTAGCTTTATGTTACTATTCTATGAGTGAAAGCAAAGACATGATTAAAAATCTTGGTTCTAGCTAGATGACATTGGAAAACTCTTACAACCATACCAAAAATGTTATGTACCCTGAAGTCTTTCAAAAAAATTGGAATTAAAAAATATTTTTTTAAGTACGCATTATTCTACTTTGTCTTTGTTGTCCATTGATTAAAATTCATGTTAGAAATATATTAACTTTTTTTTTAGAAATATATTGAATTGATATTGGAAAATATAATTCAGAATCGACAAAAAGTTCGTTTGATCCCGTGCATCACACGGGACAAAATACTAGTAAACTAAATTTGTCACCACTTGTTTTGTAGAACTTTTGATATCATTTTTTGATATATAATTTTATTTTTAATTCTATAGCAATTTTTACTTATATTGATCTTAAAATAACTTCAGTCAAACATCGTAAATGCAAACGCAACTTTATTTTTGAAGAGACAAAGTATTATATAAAAACTATATGGTATATTAACGAAGATAAGAAACTATGGTTTCTCCTCCACCCAGCATTTCGGGGGAGTGTGAAGATAATGACTTCTATGCGAACTGAATTTAACTAGTTCAGTTTGGATAAAGCTATTTGTTCCCCAAGTTTTTGTACCCCACTTTGTACACCGCAGGTTTGCACCAACATTTTGTGTTGGTGTAAAACTAATTTTTGTTAATGCACCAACACTTTGTGTCCGTGTAAATTTTTGTTAACGCACCAACACTTGTGTTAGTGTAAACCATCAAAATGTTTGTGTATAACTATGGTGTACAAATGAGGTACAATTTTTGGTGTAAGGTAGCTTGACATTATTTATTCAGTTTTAGATATTTTGATATTTTGATATTTTTGCATGTGTTATTTTCCCTTTCTCTCTTTCGGTTAGCTTGACCCTGTATATATATGCTACTTATTCCTTGTTTGTACGGTATAAATGAAAAATATCTTCATCATCTTCCTTCTTGAAAAAGTTAGGAGGCTAGCTATTGCATAATTTATTCTTTATGTTGTCTATAAATATTGATTGCACGCTTCATTATCAATAAGACTTCATATTATATTAGAGCTTAATTACAAAACTAAGCTGCACAGTATGGCAACCTTCAAAACAAACACAGATATGGAACCAACAAAAGCAAAAATGCTAAGAACATGTGGGAACACTCTATGAGGCTAACTGCATGCATTGGGTTCTATCTCTTTATATGCTTCTTCTTCCCAAGGAACTCTTTTTACACGGGTCCGGTTTGCGTCCTCCTCAAACACATTGACTTGCAACCCTGATGCCCTCTTTTTTCTTTCTCTTCCTGTGAAATAAACGCAATGCAACGAACTAGAATTAAAACAAATAATCTCATGTCCTCAAAACTTCTCTTTCGTAACAAATTAACAGATTTTATTAGTACGAATCCGACAAGACAAAGGCTCTCTTCTGCAATGCATAAGAGCATGACATTTTACCTGCTGTTTCTTCTGCATCTCCAAAAGTTCAGCCTGCAACAACAAGCGAGCGAAACACAATAATCAATCACAACCATAGCTTTCTACTATTGAATAAGGCAACAAAGCATTTCATTCGTGCGGTGAAGCTACCTGTTTTTTCCTCAGTTGTGCGTTGATCTCCTTTTGTTTTGCTACTTCTGCTTCCAATTCTAAAGTATAAGCCTATGATATTCAAGCCAGAGAAATGCATAAAGATTTGGTTTGCAAGGTTAATGCATGAATTACTCAGGATTATTGTTTATTTCTCAGAAGTTTAATCTTATGCTGGTGTTTGACACATCAGAAGTTTGATTGGGTAGTGAAATTATTTGATACTCTTGAACTTATTTAATTAGCTTCTAGGAATAGCTTTTCAAATCTTATGCCATTTTATATTTTCTAAATTTACCAACTATAGTCTATAAGCTATGAGTTACAACTAACAACAAACCCAGATAATCCCAACTATGTTGGGATCTGGGGATCAAGATATATTATGCATTCACAACCCAAAACTTTACTTTGATTTTTATAAATAAACCTGCTTCCGGGCTCGTGATCTTGCAGCAGATTCCCTGTTTTTAATCATTCTTTTCCGCCTCCGCTCCACTACTTTGTCAAAAGAACTGCATCCTCTCCTCCCCCTTCCACCCTCATTAAACGCATAAGGTGATGGTGATAATGAAGATGCATCCAAGTTTCTCTCAGCAACAACATCTGAAGACAGTGGATGCCCAAGGGATGCAAAAGCTGCAGTGGGCTGTTTGTTAGAGTACAAAGGTAGCTGAGGCCGTTCCTGTAGGGTACCTCCGGTAGGTTCTTTGTCCTCTGTTACAACCCCAGCCTTCACTAAAAACTCTTCCAGTGTTATTTCTCCATAGTTCTTGGACACTGCCTCCTTTTGGAAGTCTTTCCACACTTCACCGACAGTTCTCTGGCTAAGAGTCCGAGGCAGTGTTAAAGAAACTTGTCTCTGCAAGAAGTTCCCACACGGGACATTTGCAGCCTCGGCAGATGCAAAGGCTTGGGATTCCTCCTCAGCTGCCCAGATGGTTTTCAATAGGTCCTCCATGTTCACTGACCCAAAGTCCTTCCCAAGTCCACCGTATGGACTCTGGAGCTCTTCGAAGGTCAGGGAGTACATTGAAGGTTGTCTGGTCAGCGGATTTTCCCCCTTGAAGTTCAAGTAAGAACCCATTGTTGACCAACTTGAAACTGATCCTCAAGTGGATGACAAAACAAAAAGGAACAAATAAAAATTTATGCTGTAAATGGCAAAAAGCATGTAGCTAATGTTAATGATTTATGCTAGTTTCAATAGTTTGATAACTTGAAACTAATCCTCAAGTGGATGACATAACAAAAAGAAACAAATAAAGATTCATGTAGATAGATTCAGGTTGTGCATTTCAAATTATAAAACCATCAGTTCTCTAGCGGTAAAACGGCAGTTTCCTCCTACATCTGATGGGGATAATAACATTGAAATGAAACCTTCTTCATAGATTCACATATTCAGAATGCAAATCTTTTAGCATTTTCTCATCATATTTGCCTTAGCTTTTCATCACACACCCAACAAAATGCAAAGAACGTTACTAATTACTCATAATTAAATATTGTCTCCACACAGGTTTGACAGTTTCCTGTCAATGCACTACATTAAAGACACAATCTTTAAAAAAAATGGCAAAAGCATCTCTATTTACACATAAAAATTCTATCTTTGTTCAGAGACGTGGACTAGAATCTCTTCCTTTGAAGAAGCCAGCTGCCTGAAGAACAAAAAATTTATTATACCCACTTCACTACTCGTATAACACTTTCCCAAGTTCATAATTGACAACTTCCAGGCTCGTTTATTTTTGCAGCAGCCTCAAACTAGCCAAACCCCACGTCAATATAATCTCCTACACAGTCCAATTTCCAAACACCAGATAGAACAAACAATTCCCAAACAAAGAAAAGGAAAAGGGAAAGCAAGATCCGTTTGTATTCCTTCATCTGATTAAAATTTAAATCACGGGTTTCTTTTTTTGTTCTTCTAAGAGGAAGACGAACAAAAAACTCAAGAGTGAAGATAGAAATCAAGAAGGGGGGAAAAGAAAAAGAAAATTATGATGACCCTTTTTTGGAACATAAATATGTACCGGAAAAGAAAGGTAGATTGAAATGGGGAAGCGTGTCGTTAGCCAGGCTGGTTGTTCTTCCGCCTCGCCGGTGGTGGAGTCGACAAGTGTCCGGTGGTGTCTTCTTCTTTCGACACGAGTCGTCCGGGCCACATTTTATACCTTTTTGGGTTGTGATTAGCTACGTGCCCTGCCCACCTTCAGCAACGTGGAGCAGCGATGGGGAAACCCAATGAATGGCTGCTAAGTGGGTCAATCTGCGCCGTTCATCTATCAACCCTCCACCGAATCCTCCTCGCCTTTATTCCAATTTTCATTCATGTTTTTCTTTGCTCCCTATTTGAATCCAATTCCTTTAGTTTTAAAAACAGGAATAACAATTTATAGTGCCCGAAAACTACTGTTACGCGGTATAATTTGGAAAAACTATACCACATTACTGGGATTGATGTGAAAAAGAGATAGAAAGAAAATACAAGGAGAGAACACATAGGAAATGGAGCATTTTCCATTGTTTGTTTAGGAGAGAAAATAGAGGGGAAAAAATTAACTATAGGTCCCACATTAAAAAAAATTCATCCCAAAATTGGTAAGAAAATCGTACCAGTAATGTTGAAATAACAATTATTTTCTCTCTAATTACTTTCCTCTAATTTTTTTCCCTCTTATCTTCTTTTTCCATCCAAACATAGGGTAATTCTGCATTGAGGGTAAAGTTGTGTAAATTGTATTTTATTAAGGAAAAATTGATATAAATACTCCCAGAAATTCGAAATTTTACAATAATACTCCCAAATTTAATAAAAGACTCTGGTGCTCCCAATTAAACTATAGGTTTACGTCACTACTCCCATTAAGCCTAATCAGCTTTCCTACGCTTAAATGTAATTAATTAAGCTAAGTTGGCATCTTAGTTGTTTTTTTGTTTTCATAAGAGGAAAAATTTATATAAGTACTCATAGAAATTCAAAATTTTACAATAATACTCCCAAAATCAAATAAAGACTCTAGTTCTCCCAAAAGTATATTCTCGTTGCATGTTACGATATTTAACTGAAATTATATTTAAAGTATTTTATATGAAAAATGGTGTGAAATTAAAAAATAAAAATTACATATTAAAAAACTAATATAGTAATATGTAAAAATAATTTTTTTAGTAATATTAAAGATTAATTAATTGAGCTTAATTGGCATCTTAGTTATTTTTTTATATTTTAATACAAAATACCCCCTCCACCCAAAAATTATCTTCTCATTCACTATTAAGAGTATTAACAAGATCAAATTTTATTTACTTTGCTTACCTATTTTAATTATATATTTGATAAAATAATATAATTATATCATTACTAGTTTTATAGATCTTATGATGTACTACCTCCGTCCCATTGTCTTTGTCCACATTTGACTTTTGGAACTGTTCATCTAAGCACTTTGACTCATCAAATTCTCTTAATGTGTAAGCCTAAAAATAGTCATGTGTGATCTTGTTTGATTTGTTTTAACATATAGATTATTAATATATAATTTCTATAATTTTTTAATATACAAATTACAAGATAAAATAGATTAAAGAGTGCATTGGATGAAGTGCCAAAAGGTAAGTGGACAAACACAATGGGACGGTGGGAGTAGTTTTTAGATATATAATTTTATTTTTTGATTTCACACCACTTTTATGAAACATCGTAACACGTAAAAGGAAGATATTTTTTAGAATCCTGGAGTCCTTATTTGGTTTTGAGAGTATTATTGTAAAATTTTGAATTTTAGGGAGTATTTATATAATTTTTTCCTCTTATTAAAATAAAAAAAATAACTAAGATGTCAACTAAGCATAATTACTTACATGTAAGTGCAAGAAAAGTTGATTAGACATAATGGGAGTAGTAATGTAAACTTATAGTTTAATAGGGAGCACCAGAGTCTTTTATTAAATTTGGGAGTATTATTGTAAATTTTTGAATTTCTGAGAGTATTTAAATCAATTTTTCCTTTTATTAATTACTCATATAATAAAAATATTCTTCCTTTAAAAAAAAATGTTCTAAAAATTGAATCGGAAAAACAAGTAGGTCAATAGTTAATCGGTCGAAGCAATTGAATTGGATCATCAACACATTTCGGCCATATTCTCTTCACCTGATCTGAATGATTCTCATCTGATTGGAATAAGTTATGATTTGATCTGATCGGATCTGAATGTAGTTATAGATAAAGTTGTTTCTGATCTGAGCAGATCTGATTTGATTCCAATCAAAATTAGTAATAAGTAAAAAGAATACGTTGAGGAAACATGGCCTTACTGTACCATACCGACCTATGGAGTATTAGTTAATGTAATCATATATACTAGGTGAAATTTTAGACTTATATTTAGCTAAATATAATGAGAAAATATAGGAAAAAATAAACTATAGCATATTAAATTACTAGTTGTCTATCCCGTGCTTCGCACGAGCTGGGGATTTATCCACGTGTTTGTTGTATGCAGATTAGGTATTGCGTGTATTGCGGAAGGAATTTTGTATGGGTTGTAGAATTTATTTTGGAATCATAATTCAATAATGAGGAATTATAAATGATTTACACATACACAATCTAGATTCGTAACAATATTCACAACCTATTACGCTTAGTATGCTCCGTGGGTTTCAATTATCACGTTTTTGGTTGTGTTTTAATAAAAATAAAGAATAGTAAAGTTCTTAAAAATGTCATTAAAATGTTAAAAAAAATATAATAGGAGTAAATTAAAGGACATCTAAAAATAGGATTGTTACTCTTAAGAGGTTAGACCAAGTCCGAGTTGAGACGAATACGAACAATAGTTTTTCGTGATGAATAAGTCAAACACTGTACTATGACAAACAATCGTTACAGGCTTGGTTGTTTTAAAAAAGAACATAAGGTAAAGAACAAAGTAGAACTAAATCCGTTTTGTAGTGATTAAACTTGATGTATTATTAGTAAATCTTGCCCTGCCCAATTGGGCATAAAAGAAAGCAAGGATGTATTGGATAAATAAATCTCCATATGCAGTGAGTTTCATCCCCATTAGCATAGTTGTCGATACTTGAATAGTGTTCGAGCAGGTGCTTTTGTAATAGAGCAGAGACATATAAAACCTACATTAATAAAAAACAGAATCATAAGGTTGTGAAACTGGGTGCGTAAAGTATTTTGAGGTGTTTAAGTGTAATGTGTACACCCGGACTTTTCCTAATACTATTTATATATGTGGCAGATTGTCGTTTCAACAAGAACGAAACATTAACCAAAAAATTCAAATTGTTTATCGTAGACCTTTATCTCTGGTAATTATTTTAATAAAAGAGACCATAAGAGATGAGATTAACTTAGCATGTCATTTGAATCATGAACCCGTAAAAATCCCTTGTCTCTTGTTTGGAGTTTCTGGAGAAACTGTAAAGTAAAACAAATACTCCGTATCATAATATAGTGAGATAATATAGAGTAGGTGATAAATTCCAAAGTAATAGAATAAAATCATGCATTCAAAGAGTAGCATTGTGGAGAGATGTATCGATGTATGTACCTATGTATTATATCGAAAGGAATATAATAGAATGATATAAATAACGGCATTAGATGTGTCTATCTATTTACATATGTATTTTTAAATTGTAAAAAGTGAAATAGGCGGGATAACATTATTGATTTATTATGGTTGAGGTGGATTTGCATACTTCATAAGGAGTGGGTGAAGAATAACATTTTTATCGTAGGGGAGCTATAGTGGGAGAACGGGTCTTTCACATTCAATGAAGCGTATTCAGCAGTAGGGGAGTTCAATGCCTCAATTATACTTCACAAATGTAACAGGAAGATTAAAAACCTCTAAACTAAATGTTGATTAGTTCAAAAGTGCTACAGAATATGTTGTTGGAGTTCAGGACTTGAATCACCACACCCTAGTTAGATTTCCGATTCATCCGTGCTTAACACTTTTCGTGCCTTACTCTTAGTGTGATTAGCATGAAGTAATCAGTGTTTAATTCGCAAACACAGCCTAGTGACATGTCAGTTTCATCCGTGCTTAATAGTTTTTGTGCCTTACTCTTAGTGATATTAGGAGTATGAAACTAGTGTTATGCTTATAATTCAAGAATGCAACATATGAAGGAAAAGGAGATTGTCTTGATCGTTTAGCCCTTCTAGTACATAATTCAGCGTGTATGGATCAAAATGTGAATGTAAAGTCATGCTATGTGCTTTCGAATCAGTTCCTATGCAAGTTTTAACAATTAGGATTCAGAACTTAGCACACAACATTTTTGGAACATAAAATGACCTTGGACATAAAAAATTGCAGTTTTTTTTTCTTTCAAATTGCACTTGAGATCAGAATTTTCTCAAAAATCAGCACAATAGGCATCAAAATCAACTTAGAAACCTCATGATATGCTTCAAAGTGTTGTCCCCAATCAAGATAGAGCAACGATATTTCAAATTTCAAGCATATAGAGCACTCTAAGGGACAAAAACAGCAGGTATACTCAACCAAAATAGTGCAGAATTTTTGAAGGGTATTTGGGTAAAAAAAATGGTCAAGGAAGGTAATATATGTGATAACATTATTGATTTATTGTGCTTGAAAAGGATTTGTATACTTCATGAGGAGTGGGTGAAGAATCACATTTTTATCGTAGGGGAGCTGTAGTGGAAGAACGGGTCTTTCACATTCAATGAAACGTATTCAGCAGTAGGGGAGTTCAATGCCTCAATTATACTTCACAAATGTAACTGGAAGATTAAAAACTTCTAAAGTAAATGTTGATTACTTCATAAGTGCTACAGAATATGTTGTTGGAGTTGAGGACTCGAATCACCACACGCTAGATGCTCAATTAGGAACCAAAAATCATATTCAAGAATGCAACATATGAAGCAAAAGCAGATTGGCTTGATCGTTTAGCCCTTCTGGTACATAATTCAGCGTGTATGGATCAAAATATGAATGTAAAGTCATGCTATGTGCTTTCGAATCAGTTCCTATGCAAGTTTTTACAATTAGGATTCAGAACTTAGCACATAACATCTTTGAATTATAAAATCAGCTTGGACATAAAAAATTGGAGGTTTTTTTCTTTCAAATTGCACT